ATATCTAAGGTACACATGGTAACCCTTGGAAAGTAAATGCTCATGAAAACTGTCTTTTTACCTTTATTATTTCAATTCACAAACCAATTAAAGAGCCTATTAAAAAAATTATCATTAGCTATTCCATAAAGTACCAGTATTCTCCCACAACCAGCCATGAACTCTTCACAAGTTATTACAGATTTTAACTAGTGGCCATCTTCCTCTTTTCTAAGATCTAAGCTGCTACTGGTGAGTGTGCAATGCTAAGGTCTGGCCTCTGCTGTCCCCTAGTGGAATCACATTCTGCTCCTTATGTTACAAAATTTCTGAGCACCACAAAACGTAGCCAGGCAAATAAGGCTAAATTAGAATATTGCTGAAATTATTTTATCTTCCACTATTCTGGGGAAAAAAAAAAAATAGTTATATATGAATGCCCATCTTCTACCCACAACCCTTCCCCACCCTCCCCAAATAAAAACATTTTTTTTAATTGAGAATACCTGATGCCTATTTTCCGTTCCCAAATATTTTCTACTTTCAACTGGACATTTTTATAAAAACTGGAATAGCTTGGTTTTGTACCAAAAAAACTATAAGCCCTAAAGAGAATTGCTTTTTAAAGTGGTAGAATGTATCACAGGATACAGCATTATAAAACTATATTCATATACCTGGGTTCACTTATCTCTAAAGGAGACCATTTTGTTAAAAGGGGTGTGATGGTTAAGGAAAATGCAGGGAAATTTCTCAACTGCTACAGATCAAAAGGAATTTAGAAAGGTAAAATTAATTAATACAGAATTAGGTACTTCAAGGCAAAAGTACCCAAATCACTTTTTTAGCTAAAATAAGAAAAAGAAAACAAAAGATTCCCCAAATCTCAGCTATTTTGCTAATGATTTTGTTTTCCTATGTCGATATATTATAGTTCAATTCCAAAAGCAAACACTATCTGGCAACTTGGTTTTAATTACAGCCGAATACACAGGATTTTAATAAGATTCAAATTTTAATTTAGCCTTTATTCAATTCAATTATTCAGTCTCATGGCCCACAAAACTTTCTAATTATCTTTAAGCCCATTATTGGCAACTTTTAAACTGCCAGAAAAAAAAAAAAAAAAAGCATTATATATGCTAAACCTTTCCACTAACTATACATCTAAAATAGTCAAGTAAAAATATTTTTAATTGGTTACAAAAGGTCAAACAGGCTTGTGCTTTAAAAGTTAATGACCACATTAAAAATTACATTACAACATTTTTTTCAGATTAGTATTCTCTCTCTTCAGACACAATAATGTGATGTTGTTCTAACTCCTCTTCATCTCCACAGTCATTAAGACCCAATTTAATGTTCACCACGGCATGTTCAACTACATAAAATTTTCATCAACTTCTCTAGGTACCAAGAACCTTGAAATATTCTCCCCTCTAGAATCTTTTCCTGATTTATACTGACATGTCCAATAATCTTCATATAGGGAGAATTTTACTGCTAAATGTATTCTATTTAGGAATCAGTCTGCCCTGTCCCCAACAATACCACTGGGACATCTAAAAAGTATGTAATACATATCAAAATAATCACATTAAAGAATATATTATATTAAAGATATCAAAAAGGAAAAGAAAATATAAAAATAAAAAGCTCCCACACCCCTGGCCCAATGCACTTGTGAGACACCATATCCAACCTTGCCTATCCAGAGGCCCACAGGAGCACAGAATGCAGATATGTGCACAGGTACACGTACCAATTTACACAACTACACATTTACTGAGGAGAATTACACTGTGGAGAAGGTCATTCCACCGACCACCACTGATGACTTCCCAAAATACTCACTATGAATGACAATCAAAACATGTACTCGCCAGGCACAGTGGCTCACACCTGTAATCCCAACACTTTGGGAGGCTGAGGCGGGCAGATCACTTGAGGTCAGGAGTTCAAGACCAACCTGGCCAACATGGTGAAACGCCATCTCCACTAAAAATACAAAAATTAGGCAGGTGTGGTGGCAGGTGCCTATAGTCCCAGCTACTTGGGAGGAGGCTGAGGCAGGAGAATCACTTGAACCCTGGAGGCGGAGGTTGCAGTGAGCTGAGATCGCACCACTGCACTCCAGCCTGGGTGACAGAGCGAGACTCTGTCTCAAAAAAACAAAACAAAAACGATGTACTTAATACATTAAAGATCAATGAGGCACCAACTACCCCCTCATAAAAATGGAGAAGAGAACAGGCAACTATTCTACCCATGTCCCATTTTACTTAGTTCCAATAAGAAAAAAAATTCTAAAAGCAAGTTTGTCCAAATGTACAATGACATCATATACAAAATCCAATCCTAACTGTATTGCTTGTTTAAAACTACATCATCAATTGCAATTAAGACTTACTTTTGAACCCGCTAATACATAAATCCTATTTTTCTCAGCAAACTATCGCAAGAACAGAAAACCAAACACCGCATGTTCTCACTCATAGGTGGGAATTGAACAATGAGATCACTTGGACACAGGGAGGGGAGCATCACACACTGGGGCCTGTTGTGGGGAGCAGGGAGGGGGGAGGGATAGCATTAGGAGATATACCTAATGTAAATGACGAGTTAATGGGTGCAGCACACCAACATGGCACATGTATACATATGTAACAAACCTGCACGTTGTGCACATGTACCCTAGAACGTAAAGTATTAAAAAAAAAAAAATCCTATTTTTAAATAGTCTTTCACTATTATACTGTTCTCTCCCTTCTTTCATGCTGGTGAAAAGAAGCACATTTAATTTGAGTGCATTTTTATTATAAACCATGTTTAAAGATGGCCCACAGAATAAACATGAATAAATAAAAAATAAAAAATAAAAAAAACAAATACTCAAACATTCAAACACCTTATGAAAATTAAATCGAATTTTAAAAAGATCTATTTCTTGCTAGGCTATAAAAAGACATAAAAAACCTTCACTTCAGCTGAAACAAAATGTGACCACATAAAAACAAAAAAATTGTTTCTTCAAAGCTTCAAAAAATATAAATGCATAGAAATCTAAAAGAACTAAACTCCAAGGGGACTTCCTAGGTAAACAAGGGATACAGCACACTTTCATACCTGGTGCCACTTGCTGAAGTGGGCACAGGGCAGGTGGTAAAGCAAGCCTGCCAGACAGGACAGTCTGTGCTAGGGCCTAAAAATCCTGACATCCCTGGGAAAGCTTTGAGAAGAGTTTGTGGCTTGAAATTGGAAGCAACCGTTGGTCTAGTTAGACCAATCCTGGAATCCATATGATAAACACCCAATCATCCAGTTTTGATAAGAAAACAGAACAAAAATGTAAAACCGAAGAAACAGTCCATCTGTGGCTAACCACAATTAATCATAATCTAAACAGCATAATAAAGTAAATTCCAATTCTTAAACACTACAAACATCAACAAGACAAATGTATATTGAAGCTTTATTCATCTCTATTGTCTTAAGATCCATTTCTGGATGTGGAATTACTAAGACAAAAAGAACAACTCTAAGGTTGTTGATAAGTATTACCATATGCTATCTAGAAAAATGTTAACCATTTACAATTCTACCAAGAACATATACCTCCCAGCTTCGCTGCTACAGCTTAATAGCAATGATAGATTGTGTAATCCTTTTTGATTCATTCAGATCCCTTTCTATGCCACTTAATTCCAAATGACTGACTTTACTATGTTTTGTTGTTTTTGAGACAGAGCATCACTCTGTCGCCCAGCCTGGAAAGCAGTGGTGCGATCTCAGCTCACTGCCAACCTCCGCCTCCCGGGTTCAAGTGATTCTCCTGCCTCAGTCTCCCGAGTAGCTGGGACTACAGGCGCGCACAACCACTCCCGGCTGATTTTTTTGCATTTTTAGTAGAGACAGGGTTTCACCATGTTTCTCAGGCTAGTCTTGAACTCCTGACCTCGTGATCTGCCCACCTCGGCCTCCCAAAGGACTGGGATTACAGGTGTGAGCCACAGTGCCCAGCCTACTAAGTTCTTTTCTAGACAGTTCCTCATACCCTTGAGCAAACATAGGATATTTTGGGGGGAAAGTGGGGAGTATAGGGAAGAGGAGAGAGAGGGAGTGGTCTTCAGCAATGTCTCTATTTCCAGAACTAGGAAGAAAGGAAAAAGAGGTATCTGTGATTCCAAACCACTTAGCCTCTTCTTAGCCTATACTTTAGAAGGTAAGAGCACAAGATCTAGACTAGATGAGCCAGACTGCCTGGGTTCAAATCTCGGCTCTGTGGATCTTTGAACAAATTGTTTAACTGCTCAAAGATCCAGTTTCCTCATCTGAAAATAGGGATTTAATAATACAGTAAGTAGTCCCCCCCCCACCCCGTATCTGTGGTTTTGCTTTCTATGGTTTCAGTTACCCACAGTTAACCAGGCCCAAAAAATATTAAATGGAAAATTCAAGAAATAAACAATTCATAAGTTTTAAATTGCTCACCCTTCTGAGTAGCCTGATAAAATGTCACACCATCCACTATGTCCTGCCTACGATGTGAATCATCCCTTTGTCCAGCATATGCACGCTCAAGACCCCGCTTGTTAGTTACTTAACTGTCTCAGTTACTAGATTGAAAAAACATAGCATATATTGGGCTTGGTACTGAGTTTTCAGGCATACACTGGGACGTTGGAACACAACCCCTGAGGATAAGTGAAGACTACTGCAGTCCTAGACCTAACTGACAGGTCATTAGGATTCAATGAGATGACTTTCAGTGAGCAGTTTTGCTGAAAAGTACAAGAAAGTTAAAACAAACTAAAATAAGATTTTTATGGATTTTTTGCAGCACTAATCAAGTCTTAGTCATTAAGATTTACAGTAGCCATCAAGTTGCTATCAACTCACACCATGAAATGCCAAATCAGCACTTACTTACCTGAACTGCTTTCTTCGTTTATCTGCAGTTGGGAAAGCAGTTTTGTTATTTAGATAGCAGCAAAAGAAAAGAAATTAGTCAGTACACCTACCTGGCAGTTCTACCTGCTCTGTGAATATATGTGTTGGCATCCTCAGGACAATCAAACTGAAGAACCCAATTCACGGCTGGGAAATCTATAGAGAAGGGATGTGAAGTTAAGAAACTGGTTACAAGATCTGCCCTGCTGCACTATTTTTATTTTACAATATTGCTTGCCAGGACTTTTCATCACATCAAACTGATGGATATCATCTATGAACTCTATTAAAAGTAAAATTAATTGCATGAACCAAGAGATAGTAAACATTTCTCTTGACAAAATGAACTAAAATTAATGACTGTTTGAATATGTAGATTACTTCGTATCTGACACAGAAGAGACAGATTGCTTTGTGTCGGACAAATAGTGAAATACCCTAATATTTAATAACCTGAAAGCATAACTTCTCATGGGGACATGGACAAAGCTGGAAACCATCATTCTCAGCAAACTAACAGGAACAGAAACCCAAACACCGCACGTTCTCACTCATAAGTGGGAGCTGAACAATGGACACAGGGAGAGGAACATCACATATCAGGGCCTGTCGGGAGGTAGGAGATTAGAGGAGGGACAGCATTAGGAGAAATACCTAATGTAGATGATGGGTTGATGGATGCAGCAAACCACCATGGCACATGTATACCTATGTAACAAACCTGCACGTTCTGTACATATACCCCACAACTTAAAGTACAATAAAAAATAAAGTAAAATAAAAACTAATCAGGCATGGTGGTACATGCCTGTAGTCCCAGCTGCTGGAGAAGCTGAGGTGGGAGTATCACTTGAGCCTGGTAGATCAAGGTTGCAGTGAGCTATGATCATGCTACTGTACTCCAGCCTAAACTAATAAACATGACATCTGACATACACTTTAGAGAACTCCAAGAGGGACAGGAGGAGGATTATGAAAAAGATAATTGTTAAAGTTGGGTATATGAGGGTAGATTAAACATATTCAGCTTTTGTGTATGCTTCAAATTTGCTATAATTAACAATACAATAAAATTAAGTGACTGAAGGATGCGAATTATCACCTATTTATTCTCACGCTTTGTTCCTATGTCTAGTTTCCCTCTCTAATTACGTCCATCCCCATCCATTCCCACAAAGCCAGGAGTTGTATAATCAACAAAGCAGCTTTTTGAAAATAAATTTAAATGCATTAAATGTAGTGATTTATCAGATAAAAATTAGAATGGTGAAAACATGGATTTCACTGATTTTTCTTGTTGAATGAGTTCAGTATCTATAAACAAGTTTCCAATTTTCAAAGAAACGAGAATTGTTTTCATATCTTTAAACTTTTAATCTCTTCGATTTTGTAGGTTCCTCAGTATTCTATGGTGTGATTATCATGAAACAGTAAGAGTAAAAAAGATACAAATACTATGGAAATTTTCACTGATACATCCTTAGTCAGTTGCTACCAATTTACTACTTACTTTTCTCTTACAAAATAAGAAAAGAAACTCAAGTATTTGAGTCTATCAGATTTCCCAAAATACACTTTATAAGCAAATTACATTTCCCATGATCACAGAAATTTCATGGTAGGAAGTTTTCTTACCCAACCCCCTGGCTGCAATATCAGTAGCAAAGAGTACCGCAGCTCTCTTACGGACAAACTCATTATAGACTTCCATTCTTCTCATTTGCTGCTGTCGACCATGGAGGGCAAGGATAGAAATACCAGGACGTAGCCGGCAAAACACTCGGTACAGATATTGGACCTGGGGCATCAACAGAAGAATAAGTTTGCTTATGGCAGATGACAGCAATAAAGCTTAGAAGACGGACAGCAAAAATGTATTAAGCAGCACGAATTTTACCAATTAAAAAAATGTTCAAATATAGAGCAGAGAAAGAGAAATGTAGTTTAGAGTTGTGGTCTGCAAAGATTTTTGCTCATGTATTTCCTTTGATTTTCAAAAAAATGCTCTTCTTATATTTTTGTATTGGTATCTGAAATCTTCCAAAATTTCAATCATAGCAAAGAACACAATTTCTGGTAAATACTGATGTTTTAAAATAAACACTTATCTCTTATGAATGTATCCCACAGATTCTCATCAGCAGAGCAATGTGATACCCAATTTCAACCAAGTAAAAAATGTGAACTCTTCTTTAATTTTAAGAAATTTGATTTCCTTCCCTCCTTTAATTCACATTTCTATTCCCTAACGTCACAGAATTGCATCTTAAGTTTGAAGCTTGAAAGCCTTTTATTGATCATGTTATCATACCTCATTTCCTACAAAAGAAAAAGCTTATTTTAATTTCCTGTGGCCATAGGCTGACTGAACTTTCCTCTCAGACTCAGCAATTATTAAAATAATCAATAGTACAGAACTGATCAAACCAAGAAATATGTTGGGATTTGATTTAAAAAACTGTTAGACATAAATAAAAACACTGTAAATATATCTCAATGTATGGGACTATATAGAGTTAATTGTTTTGGTTCTCTTTATGTACCCATAAACAGATACTATGGATTGTTAGACTGAAAAGAGTTCAACATTATTTTATTTTCTCTAACATGGGGGTTAAAATCTGTTCACATAAATAAAACTCAAAGGAAGTTTAATTCTGAGCTCCTATAAAACAGGCCAAAACTCATAATGCATTATTCCAAATAATTTTTGGTGATCTATTCGCTCAGTTAAAGAGAAAGATAAAGTCTCTCTTCAATTTTGCTGAAAATAAAGAATGGGAAACCAAGTGAATTGCAAAATGACTTGTTACCCAATCACTAGTCATTTACTTTCTCAAATGCAATTCGCTACTTGCCAGGGAGGTTCTGATTCTGGGACAGTATCAGGCAAGGATTAGAGACAGCTGGACTTAGGCCTTTCTTTTGTCAAGATGTAAAAACAGCTTCTCCAAGAAGACACCAAATGGCAGATGATGCTGGTGCAGCAGAAGGGTCCACAGGACCGGGAATGGGAAACCACAGAGGCCTCAGCAGAGGCTTCAGCAACAGCACCTGCAACCAAGGCCACTGGCAAAGCCAAGGAAGGGATGCCAGTCACTAAGCTGTGCTGTCTGGTCAAGGACATGAAGACCAAGTCCCTGGAGGAGATCTCTCTCTTCTCCTGCCCATCAAGGAGTCTTAGGTCATTGACATTTTCCTGGGGGCATCTCTCAAGAATGAGGTTTCAAAGATTATATGGTGCAAACGCGGCCCACACTGGCCAATGCACTGGGTTCAAGGCATGTTGCCATTGGGGACTACAATGGCCACACTGATATGGGTATCAGGTGCTCCAAGGAGATAGCCACTGCCATTTGAGAGGCCATCATCCTGGCCAAGCTCTCCACTGTCCTTGTGCCGAGAGGTTACTGGAGGAACAAAATCAGCAAGCCCACCAGCCCTTGCAAAGTGACAGACCTCTGTGGCTCTATACTGGTGAGCCTTGTCCCCACCTCAGGAGGCACTGGCATCATCGCGGCCCCTTGCCCAAGAAGCCACTGCTGATGGTGGGTATTGACAATTGCTATACCTCGACCAGGGGCTGCAGTGCCACCTTGGGCAACTATGCCAAGGCCACCTTTGATGCCATCTCCTAAAGAGTAGAAACTTTAAACAGAACTTTAAATAGAACTTTCAGAATCATTTCCTAGTATCTAGATACAAAAACCAACTAAGTCTTCTTTAAGAGATGTGAAGTTTATGATTTTGTGGTTGGCTACTGCTCAGGACACACTTCCAAGTTACCTTGAGGAATGCTCCCGGGATCTGGGAAGCTTTGAAAATCTAAGATAGGTCCTTAAAAAACTGAAGTCTTTTTTTTTTTTTTAAGACAGGGTCTTGCCATCTTGCCCAGGCTAGTCTTCAACTTCTAGACTCAAGCAGTCCTCCCACCTCAGCCTCTTAAAGTGCTGGGATTACAGGCGTGAGCCACCGCACCAAGGCTAAAGTCATCCTTTACATGTTAAAATAAGGTTCAGTAGACAACAGCATCAGATCACCACTTAATTTCCCATAACCTAGAGAGAAACTCATCTACATACTTATTATGGAAAATTATTGCAAAAGCTGTAAATTTAGAATTGATCTACTACATTCCCTAGAAGTCATCTGGAATCTGAAATATAGTACAGGAGAAGTGGCACACGCACGCACGCACGCATACACGAAGATGGTGGTCCCTTCTCCTCAAGAGAGGAGACAAAGTTCTCTTAGACATCTCTGAAATCCTCATTCTTTATTCCTAGCACAGGGCTAGTGTTCAAGCAAGAAGTGTTTATTAACTAAGATATAAACAAAACACTTCAGAAGGTTAGAGGAGGGAGCAACTGATTCTTTCAAAAGGGAGTGTCAGAAAGGGACTTTCAGGTATGACATTTGAACTTAGCCTCAAAATAAGTATTTCCCCAGATTTAGGTGAAGGGATGCAGGGAGGCCATTCCAGACAGATCAGCATAAACAAAGATATAAGGCATGGAAATAAATGATATATTCATTCCCATATTCCTGGAGGGTAAGGGAGGTATCAGATTATAAAGACCTCTGCTTAGCCTGGCTAACAACTATTCATTCTACTAATATTTATTGAGGACTACATTTCCAGTATTGTTAGCACTTAACAGAATGCCTAAGAAAAGACACAGTTTCTGCCGTTGTGGAGTTGAAAGTCTCAACCACAGATTCCTTTACCACAAGGACACTAAAGATCCCTCACCACACCTAGCACTGTACTTCTCGTACAATACAATAATTTGTCTAATTGATTTGCCATTTCAAAAGGGACATTCAACATACGTTCAGAAAGAAAACTAAACAGCCAATACCTCTTTGCAACTGGAAAAAAATACAATGCTCTTCTTCTTCAGATGGCTTCTCAAAAAGGAATACAGCACACTTATTTTTTGCTGCAGCTCACAGACTATGTAGTTCTGTTCCAAAGTGGCAGGGGTGCTTGTGGAATTAAGGAAAAGAAAGACATTAAAATATGTCATGTAGGTAACTGAAATCCAGACCAAAAAAGGAAACAAGTTTTAATAGTGGCACATCTCTCAAGCAAATTTCCTACACACATACACTAAAAAAACAGTAATTTTTCTCTATTGTCCCTTGGGATATGAATTCAACACATCACTTTAAAACACATTCAAAATCCCTTGTAAATCAATGTCAAACAAAGCACAACACGAACAGTGATTACCTCTAAAAATGCGGGGTCAAGGATTAACTAAGAAGAGGCTTAAGAGAACTTGCTGGGCTGATTAGTATTCCACATCTCATTAGGGCTTTAGATTACTGAGATATACATATTCATCAAAGTCAACTGTATACTTAAAATTTTCATATTTCATTGTATACAAATTTTATACCAAAAGAAAGAAATCTGTACAAATATTAAATTCTCATTAGTAATAGGTGTGAAGTATTTAGAGAGAATACAGATATCTGCAATTTACCCTGAAATCCATCAAAACTAAAATGGGTTAATACAGAGTTAGAAGGGATGGATGAAAGCAAGTAAATGGATGCTATCATTAGGTAGTATCTAGGTGTTTGTTATAAGGTATTTATTGTAAAAGTCTTTCAATTTACCATATGTTTGAAATTTCATTATAAAATCTTGGAGAAAAATATACATGCATTTACTCTTTGAACTAATAAATCTACTTTATTCCAACATTACTCTGGCTTTAAACACACACACATATATACACACACACAAACATATGGCATTATTTATAAAGCAAAAAATGATCAAAATCAACCTAAATGTCCATCAGTAGGGACTTGCAGTATGAACGATTACACAGCCACATTAATTATAATGTAACTGTAAAAAAGGAACGAAGAAACTATCCATATATTGCTGTGGAGTGATGTCTAGGATACACTGTTAAGGAAAGAGGCAAGTGGCGGAATAGTACAGATAGTTTGGTACCATTTATCAGGGGGCTATACATTATATATGCATATTCATGCCCACCCATGTGTGTGTTTACAGTGAAAGAAAAAAGGAGGGGGGGACAGACAAACCAAAAAATACAAGTCAATTGGTTTTAGATATGACAAAGTTATGATCCATAAAGGGAAGAATTGATAAGCTGGACTTCATTAAAATTAAATGTTTCTGATCTGTGAAACACACTATCAAAAGAATCAGAAGATAAGCCACAGAATGGGAGAAAAATATTTGCAAAAAAATCTGATAAAGGACTGTTCTCCAAAATATACAAAGAACTCTTAAAATTCAACAATAAGAACAGAAACACCCAATTTTAAAAGGGGGAAGGAGGTCAAAGATCTTAACAGACACCTCTCCCAAGAGGATATGTAAATAAAAAATAAGCATATGAAAAGATACCATACCAACTTGGGCAAAATGGCGAAACCCTGGCTCTACAAAAGAATACAAAAGTTAGCTGGACAGGGTGGCATGCGCCTATAGTCCCAGCTACCTGAGAGGCTGAAGCAGCAGGATCATTTCAGCCCAGGAGTCTGAGGCTGCAGAGGGCCATGATCATGCTACACTGCACTCTAGCCTGGGTGACAGAGTAAGACCCTGTCTCAAAAAAAAAAAAAAATTTAAAGATGATCCACATCATATGTCAACAGGGAAAAGTTAATTAAAATAATGATATGTCACTTCACACTTATTAGATGGCCAAAATCCAGAACAGTGACAACACCAAATGCTGGCAAGGATGTGGAGCCACAGGAACTGTCCTTCATTGCTGGTGGAAATGCAAAACGATACTGCCATTTTGGAAGACAGTATAGCAGTCTCTTAAAACCAAACATACTTTTAATACCTGGCCCAACAATCATGTTCCTTGGTATTTACCGAAAAGAGTTGAAAACATATGTCTATACAAAGATCTGCAAAAGGATGTTTATTGCAGCTTTATTCATAATCGCCAAAACTTGAAGGCCATCAAGATGTCCTTCAAAGTGAATAGAAAAATAAACTGTGGTACATCCAGACAATGGAATATTATTCAGTGCTAAAATGAAATGAGCTATCACTCCATGAAAAGACATGGAGGAACCTTAAATGCATAATATTAAGTGAAAGCAACCAATATGAAAAGGCTACATACTGTATGGTTCCAACTATATGACATTCTGAAAAGACGACACTATGGAGACAGTAAAAAGATCAGCAGCTGTCAGGGGAGATGAATAAATAAATAGGCAAAACACCAAGGATTTTCAGGGCAGTGAATATACTGTGAAATATTGTAACAGTAGATACATGTTTTTATAAATTTGTCCAAATTAATGGGATGTACCACACCAAGAGTGAACCCTAAAGTAATAGACTTTGGGTGATAAGGATGCATCAACATAGGTTCATCCATCGTAGCAAATGCACCACCATTCTAGCGAGAGTGTTGATAATGGCAGAGGCTGCATGGGGACAGCAGGTATATGGCAAATCCCTGTATCTTCCTCTCATTGTTGAGGTTAACCTAAAACTGCTCTAAAAAAACAGTCTTTAAATAAGAAATAGGCCATATCTATAGGGAATTATGGGAAACAGAATGCAGTTATACAAAAGAGCAAAATGAAACAAGCCCAAATATATATCAAGTTGACGACTTAATGACAAAGGAATTATTTCAAAGGAAATGCCTTTGAAGGAATGTGATTCCCACATCTTTTCTGGGATATCTAAGGAAAAAAAGAGAAATGCAAAGGAATCTTAAACTTTTATAAGTAATCATATTGTCAGTAATAATATTGGTATTAGCCTGAAACTATTTTAGATATACTGACTTACAGATGAAACAAAAGTCTTTAGGAAGCTGTAATCCAGACTTTGGGAGCGAGAGGGGATAAAGTCAGGAGATCGAGACATCTGGCTAAACGGTGAAACCGTCTCTACTAAAAATAAAAAACTAGCCGGGCGAGGGGGGGCTGTAGTAGCTCGGGAGGCGAGGCAGGAGTGGCGTGACCGGGAGGCGGAGCTGCAGTGGCTGAGATCCGGCACTGCACTCAGCTGGGTGAAGAGGAGACCGTCTAAAAAAAAAAAAAAAAAAAAAAAAAAAAAAAAAAAAAAAAAAAACCTTGTAATCCTAAATTTAATTTGTAATTATCAGCTGAACTCTTTTAAAAAGGCCTGTCCACTGTAAGGCTTAACACAATGACCATGCCCATTAGCACTCAGACTATGGTCTTTATATACCGGATCCTGCTACAAGGATTTTATAAGAACTGGAAATATGTAAGATAAACTTAGAACACCAGAAAGCAAAAAGTTCACCAAAGATTACTAAAATGTATCTACAGAATCGAGATATTAACTTGAAGCAACTACTAGCGAAGTTTGGGATGACACAAGATGAATATTAAATATAAAAATTTTTATTGATTCAAGGACATAAAAAGATGTTTAAATCTAAGTATCATTAATTCATCATTAATTACTAAAATTTTTTTAGTACATTTAGTTCATTTTTAGTACACACAACCCCCACCCCCAACCAAAAAACAAACACTGCTTACCTTCAGAAAATACTAGGGAACCAACTCACTGGTGTTAAAGCAGATAAAGGGAGTAAAGCATACATTCTAATATTCTGGCTTTCCTGTAAGAACTGTACCCCAGATAATCACACAGTTCATGTGAAAGCTGTCTGATATGAAATTATTTAAACTAATGAAGAAATAATACAATTAAAATACCACAATTTTGCAAACCCTGATGAAATAACGAAGCTAGGCAATAATTTCTATCAGCTGCTAAACTTACAAGACTAAGAAGCTGCTGGTATCAGATTAACCCTTTGGTCTAGAATAGCAACTATAAAAGCATGAATAAATACAAAACAAAACAAAAAGACTGACAGCACCTGAGAGCAACCAAGGCAGGTAGGACTTGAGGTGCTAAAGGAGAAAATGGAAATGCCCTGAGCCAAGCCCTCTGTTAACAACCTCACTTTTCTCCCCAAAAGCATCTGCTGATTGCAAGACAGGAAACAAGGTAGCAGCCTTAAGTCTAAACATGTCAGTCCCAGGTCCCAGAGAGAATGAAAACTGAATCTAGAATTTTTCATACAATTTACCCTTGAGGAGCATGCTAACCCCTAAACTGAGTGTACATAAGGCATGATGAGGAAAAACAAGCAAAAAGCAACCAACTGGGAAACTATAGAACTGAGCAGACATTCCGGCAGGGTCACAATGCTATGAGGTTCACAACTTGCCAAGACAGACGGGCCCTGGTAGATACCTCAGTCTTTTGGTTGAGACCCTAAGAAAGGCTATTCCCCATCTGTGAGGGTTATACCCCAAGTCTCAGGACAAACCAGAAACAGGATAACCCCAGAGTCTAATTGCCAGGCTAGACCAGATCAAGACAGCCTGACCTTAAGACATTTGCTAGCCGAAAAAAAGAAAAAATTACCTTCAAAAGAACAAGAGAACTGTCAGATGACTTTAACAGAAATAATGGAACCAGGAGTACAACAAAGATGTCTTTGAAGAGGGAAAAAAAAAATGCCAAGATAGGCTTCAAAAAAAATGAAGATGAAATAAAGAGGTTTTCAGAAAGGTCAAAACGCTGTTCACTAACAAGTATGCACTAAAGGAAATTATTTGAGCAAAAGAAAAATTCTCAGGTGGAAGTATGACAATACAAGAAGAAGAATCAGGTAAGTCTAAATAAATACTGATGTTGCAAACTGATAATAGTGGCTTATGGGGCTTAAGATACATGTGGAATTAAAATACTTAACAATGAAGATACAAAGGTAGGAAGAAGTAAAGGGACCTAAATAATAATTAAATTAACTGTCAAAAGCAATTATCATACCAGATTAAAAATACGCTACTCACAAAGACAAACCTAAAAACATAGGGTGTAAACAATGTAGAAAGTAAAAGGATGGGAAAGGATTCGCCATGCAAATGTTAACTAAAAGAAAATTGCTATATATAGACTAGTATCAAACTAGACTTAAAGTTGGCCAGGGGCAGTAGCTGGGAAGCCGAAGCAAGTGGATCACCCGGGGTTAGGAGTTCGAGACCAGCCTGGCCAACATGGTTAAACCCTGACTCTACTCAAAATATAAAAATTAGGTGGGCACGGTGGTGAGCACCTGTAATCCCAGCTGTTTGGGAAGCTGAGGCAGGAAAATTGCTTGAACCTGAGAGGCAGAGGCTGCAGTGACCCAAGATCACGCCACTGCACTCCAGCCTGGGCAACAGAGAGAGACTCCATCAAAAGAGGGAGGGAGGGAGGGAGAGAGGGAGGGAGGGAGGGAGGGACGGAGGGAAGGAGGGAGGGAGGGACGGAGGGAAGGAGGGAGGGAGGGAGGGAGGGAAGGAAGGAGGGAGGGAGGGAGGAAGGAAGGAAGGAGAAAAAAAATAGACTTAAAGGCAAAAAAGAATTAGTAAAGATAAAAAGAAACATTTTATAAAATAAAAAAAACACTGGGAGTAGGGAAGTGTTTTGCTACTCGTATTACAAATAAATAATTTAAAGGGCTCCTCCAAGCCAATAAGAAAAAGGCAAAAAAACAAATCCAAAAAAGACACACTGTACACAGAAAATAAGCACACACACACACACAAAAAAGAAGCATTTCATAATGATTAATGTTTCAAATTGACAATGCAATACTTAATTTGTATATACCTAATAACATAAACTCATGATAGATCTCAAATTTGAAGATTTTCATAATCCACCATAGAATTCAACTGGTCACTGAAAAACAGCAAATCGCTATGGCCCAAAGGCATATTCTCTCAAAAATAAGATCATTGGACATACCAGTTGTCTATATATAACAACATAATGAAAACACTAGTATACTTTTTCTAAAGTATGCTCTGGCTTACAACTTCGGAAAGATCTGATTTTTCTTTAGTTGTTGGGTCCTTCACAATTTGAGAGTAGTACTCTCTAACATTTTTTTTTTTTTTTTTTTTTTTTTGAGATGATCTTCTCTGTCCCAACTGGAGTGAGTGGCGGATCCTGGCTCACTGCAAGCTCGCCTGGTCGCTTCTGCCCAGCCCAAGTATGGACTAAGGCCCCACTGCGGCTTTTTTGTATTTTTAGTAGAACGGGTTTACGTGGTTCGATCTTGACTTGGATCCGCTCGGTCCAAGTTGGGAGGTGAGAGGACTCTCTAACAATTTAAAATGTTCTGGAATATAATCTCTCATGGTGTATGAACCACACTGATAAGCTACTAAAGGGGAAAAGCTAACATTGATATTAGACAAAATTCCTAAGAGCATCTGCTTTTTTATGTTTCCTATAAATTTGGAATATTAGAAAACCACAGCCATTATCATATAATCTGACGTTTTATAAATTATGTCAATACGTGTCTGCCTTCCAAAATTTTTTCTGAAAATTTTGTCTACCACACTTTTATAAGTGATGGGACTGGGTTTCAAAAATCATTTGTGAAATAATATCAAAGTCTTTGTTGTTTTTTTCTAAAACTTTATAATTTACAGAAAATAACCAACTCTTACCTACAGAAATTGGCAATAGGAAATAATAGGTACAAATTAACTTGCATAAATTATGAAAGGTCTTAGAGACATCTAATGATTAAAAAATTTGTCTGATGAATATTAAAAATAAGCTGGAGGCAAATAGCAAAAAAAGAAAAGTGAAAAATCCTAGACAGGCAGTCTTTATATTTTCAAGTTAATTGTTAATTGTCACAAAAATTTTCATAGCTATCTCAACACTTTAAGAGATCAATGTCTACTTGAAAGTAAGCCAAGGGAAAAAGCTATACCTCACGTATCTTACTATTCCATTCCCAAGTTCTTGAAAGTCAAAGATACCAGTACTCAGATTCCCCAAGATAACCTAGAAGCAAAGAATCTGGCTTCTCTCTTCTCAGGCTTTTAAAATCCTAGACATCTATTACACAAGGTCAAGATGGGCCTGAATACTCATATTTTCTCTATTTAAGGAATTTCCAGATAACACAATTCATTTTCCAAACCTATTTCTTTTTAGGCTAACATTTCAGAGCAAGGAGAAATAAAAAATTTAAGATATAAATAATAGTAGTTGAATTTACATTGCTATCTTCAACAAAGAATCCAACTTATATTCACTGGAAAACATTTCTCCTGGAAGTCTGCAGTGATTCATACCAAATACATATGCTTCCAATTGTCATATAAAAATACAACTTAAAACATATTCCAGCTGGGCACAGTGGCTCATGCCTGAGTGTAATCTCAACACTTTGGGAGGTCAAAGTGGGATGATTGCTTGAACTCAGGAATTTGCTCAGCCTGGGCAATGTAGTAAGACTTCAACTCTACAAAAAATTTTAAAATTAGCCAGGCATGGTGGTATGCCCCACTTGTCCCAGCTACTCAGGAAGCTGAAGCAGGAGGATCATTTGAGCCCAGGAGGTCAAGGTTACAGTGAGCTACAATCAAACAACTGCACTCCAGCCTGGGCGACAGAATGAGCAAGACCCTGTCTCAAAAAAATAGATAAATAAAAATTTCCCCAACTACCTGTATATCACAAACATACATACTTTACATATTTCACTGTAACACACATACTTTACGCTCTATTTTTTAGTGAGACCAAGACAAAAACAATAGTTGCTAGAATTTTAGACAGAAAGGTATTTTGCTAAATACTAATGCGCTTGATAAAATGTGTTCCATAACACATTAGTACTGCATAATCCTGCTAAAAAGGATGATTCCGTACGCAAATAATTTTGGTAAATGTAGCAAGCTACAACCACCTTCCACTGCTTTGAACAATCACAATGTCCATGAAAATATTAAAGGTTCTGAGAAATAGAAACAAAACCGTTTCACTTTGACTCACCATTTGCTATCTCATCCCTTCTCTGTTTATGGAGAGGTAGTGTTGGTAAACGGTAAAATACCTCTTAACATCTATGGAAAAACATTTGTTCCCCTCCCAGACCACATTTTGGGAAATGCTACATTCGAGTACCCTGACATTTAAAGATATATCAAGAATTTGGGTAATTTTAACTGGTATATTTACTATGCTTTGCATAACCAATAACGCATAGAATGTCTTAATTCCCAGAAAACAGATATTTAAAATATCAAATCCCTAAACTAAAAAAGAAAAAAACATTTATCTTGATTGAATCAAAGAGTACATACCTATATTTTGCTTTTTCATGAACCCAGACATACTCAGGGTCTTTCAAACTCAAGCGTGCAAGGTCCTTTACAGATTTAGTTTGTGTTGCTGAGAAAAGTAAAGTCTGACGTTTCTTGGGGAGATTTTCAATAATGGCATTCATGGTATCAGCAAAGCCCATGTCCAAGATTCTATCTGCTTCGTCAAGAACTGAAAAAGGAAAATGCAAGTTGAATTATCATATTTAAAATACACATTAGGCTAAACACAATGGGGTATCCTGGATTGGATCCTAAAACAGAAAAAGAACATTAGCAGAAAAACTGGTAAAACGTGAATAAAGTCTGGAATTTATATGATGTATCAATATTAGCCTTAGTTTTGATCAAAGTACCATGTCACGTAAGACATTAACACAAAGGGAAGGCCGGGCACAGTGGCTCAGACCTGTAATCCCAGCACTTTGGGAGGCCAAGGTGGGTGGATTACGAAGTCAAGAGATCGAGACCATCCTGGCCAACACTGTGAAACCCAGTCTCTACTAAAAATACAAAAATTAGCTGGGCGTTGTGGTGCACACCTGTAGTCCCAGCTATCGGGAGGCTGAGGCAGGACAATCACTTGAACCCGTGAGCCGAGATCATGCCACTGTACTCCAGCCTGGCAACAGAGCGAGACTCTGTCTCAAAACAAACAAACAAACAAACAAACAAAAACATTAGGGGAAACCAGGGGAAGGATAATGCAGGAACTCTCCACTGCAACTTTCCTATAAATCAAAAACATTCCAAGATAAAGTTGATTTAAAAATACACATTAGGTAGTATTCCCAAGCCAAAAAGAAAAAGTTCATTTAAAAAAATGCCAACTTGACCTTTCAAGTTATTAGAAGCAGGTGTTAAAAATCTTGGCACGGTCTAATACTAATGTGCCTAATTTCACATATAAAAGTACATATATTCTTCTGATTTTTTTAAATCTAGTTATACTTTCTGGGTTTAGAGCCCAAATGCCAAAATGTGTCAGTAATTTTTAAGTTTGTTTTGAATCATAACATTTATCCAACATAAAATTTCTATCATTAAAATGTATAAGGGCTCTCTCCTAAGTCTGAGCCTTTTTTTTAAATCAGAAATTCATTTGACTCACCTAACATTTGGAGATCAGTAGCATGAAAAGATACTGTTTCATCCATGTGTTGAAGAAGTCGACCTGGTGTGCACACGAGTATATTTATGTTGTTGATCCTCTCAGCTTCCTGTTTCAGATCCTGAGAGCAGTTATTTATTTTGATTACAGAGACACATCACTCTCAGCAGCCTCTGTACCAAAGCTATAAAAGCCACCTGCATGTGCCATTTCATCACAGCATTTTAGATACTCTTGGAAATAAACTAACTTTTCCCTTGTATTTCTGCAGCATATCCACATTTCTGGGCTAAATAAAAAAAAAAGTCTTTACGGGAAGACATAAGGAGCTCAGAGTTCTAAATTCTTATTCATACCCAGGATTTTGAGGCTAAGAAAAAAAACAATCAAATGAATACTCCAAATCAGGATTTCCTATTTGGATCAGAACTGACATAAACTGGAATCACTCTCATTCTTTAATTCAGGACCCAGGGACACTGAACAGACTCTGACACCACTCCAGGACTGGACTTTGTGAACTGAAAAAGGCCGAGGTTCTCTCCTTGATACAAGAACCACTTCTCACAGTCCTGAAGGCTGGGGGAAAAAACAGAATGTTGCCCATTGTTAAACTTGGGCAACAGGTACATGAGGGTTTGTGATGCTATTCTTTCTTCTTTTGTGCACGTTTGCATAAAAACTCAAGTATTTATCCCCACAGTCTAGAGGAGATTCTAGCAGATACAGGCATTCTAGATGTGCTGTACAAAAGAACAAAAGTGAGCAGCAGGTCTTAAATATTCCTCCAAACAATCTACCTTCCTTTCTTCTGCTGCTGGTGTAGCAATGCTCTGAATTATTCAACCTCTTAGATAGATACCTTATTAAAAGGTACTAGTTCATATATGGAAATATCTTTCCCAATGAATATCAACAAATAACTTTACAGGATTAGAGTAAATATGTCTTAGACAGGCTAATCAATTCAGATTCCCCGACAAAAAAATGGACTTTCTGGGCCTGCAAAATTGGCAACCAGATCGCAGATAGCAGTGACCATACCAAGGTGCTACTACCCCATGAGGCCCTGGTCTAGGAGGTCAGTCTGTTTAGATGAAGACTCTGCTGCCTCCCTGTCAACAGTCACAGTACTTCAGTATAAGTTACAGAAGGAAAGGAAGGACATAGACAAAAGGACGAACCTTTCCACCAATGATGAGACCAGCTGAGAAGTCATGATTCTTTCCTACTTTTCGGAGAACCTCAAAGGTCTGATAGGCCAGTTCTCTCGTAGGTGATATTATGAGAACTCCCAGCCCATCGGTTGAGGTCCACTGCAGACGATATAAGGCTTCCAGCACCTCAAAAAGACAGCAAATTGATGTTCAGTAAGTCATCAGAAGTCAGCTTTTTGGCCTGCATCTCAACCTTGCCCCTCCAAATCAAAGGGATCTTCCAAGCAGAAGGCATACCACTCCAGTTTTATCCAGCCCAAAGTAAATGATTTTGTTTACCTTCCATCAGAACCATCCACCCCCAACTCAGACAAAAGGGAAAAGAAACCCCATGGTAGCTCAGCTGCTGCCAGAGCCACGCCATCAGGAAACTGGCTATCAGTGAAAGGTATGTGCAACCCACAGACCTTTACAACACACTTAAGAATATATTTATCATTTTCAAAATAACCACACTAAAACTTTTGGATGGGCGCAGTGGCTCCCGCCCATAATCCTAGCACTTTGGAGGTCGAGGTGGGTACATCACTTGAGGTCAGTTCAAGACCAGCCTGGCCAACATGATGAAACCCCATATCCACTAAAAATACAAAAATCAGCTTGGCGTGGTAGTCCGCATCTGTAATCCCAGCTACTTGGGAGGCTGAGGCAGAAAGAATCACATGAGCCTGGGAGGCAGAGGTTGCAGTGAGCCGAGATTGCACCACTGCACTCCAGCCTGGGCAACACGGCATGACTTCATCTCAAAAAATAAAAATAAAAATAAGTAAATAAATTTTCATCCATGCAGCTGCTGTAGTTATACAGTAACTGAATTCTCTAGCTATAGACAGACACTAGGATTTAAGAGAAAAGTGGTTTTTGCAATATTTGGAACAAAAACTAAAATGAGATTTTTCTGGGTCATTTTATAGGAATGAAAGATTAGGAGACCAACATAACAGAGATGGAAGTGAATGCCTAAGAAGCTCTACTGTTTTGCTGCCATAAAAGACCGATAGCAATGTCCCAGAAAATTCTCAACAAACGCCTAAAGCTCCTTAAACTGAGCATACTTTAGCTTTATCCTAAACAAAGTGGCAAGTATAAATGCCACTGGCAGGCTCACAACGGTGAGAGCAGAAACTGTCTTCCAATAGTCCTACGGCAGCGCAGAACCACTCTAACCTGCCATACTGGAGCACCCCACTTCCATCAAGAATGTAATGACTTGTCAAAGCACAATAGTTCATTCATTAAGTTATTGAGTGCCTGCCGCATGCAAGGTACTGTGCTAGGACCTGGGGAAAATGGGGAGAACAAGACACACATGGCTCCTGTTTGATGAAGCTTGCATTCTAGCCAATCTATTATGAAATCTAACATACAAATCTCTTTATATAATTCGCATCTGGGCACAGAATGTTATAAAATTGTATAACAGACAGTCTAACCCAATGACAATGTACTTACTGGAACAAGGAAAGCCAAAGTCTTGCCAGATCCAGTTTTGGCTGCTCCAAGTACATCTTTACCTTGCAAAGCCAATCCAATGGTCTGCTTCTGTATCTCAGTTACCAAACGGTACTGAGCTTCTTGCAAACCTGGCAACATGGAGGGAAGGATTATACTTTAGAAAATCCCTGTAGAATGGTGTTATAGGCTAAGTGAATTGTGTCCCCCAAAATTCCTATGTTGAAGCCCTAATGCCCCATACCTCAGAACATGACTATATTTGGAGACAGGGCCTTTAAAGAGGTGATTAAGTTAGAGCCTCATGGGGTGGACTCTGATCCAATATAAACGGTGTCTTTATGGGAAGAAGCTTGAACAGAGACATGAAGAGTCCACATGCACAGAGGGAAAACCAAGCGAAGAGGAGACAAGTTATTCTATGATCCACCTGTTCCACTTCTGGGTATAATCCAAAGGATATATTAATAAAACCAGTACTTTGAAAAGTATTTGTGCTCCCTAGCTCATTGCAGCATTATTCACAGAACCCAAGATATGAAATCAACCTAAGTGTCCATGAATGAGTAAAGAAAATGTGATATATGTTATATACATACACACACACACATACACACACACAAATGGAGTATGACTCAGCCTTTAAAAAGGAAATCCTGTTATTTACAACATGGATGAACCTGGAGGACCTTATGCTAACTGAAATAAACCAGGCACAGCAATAAAGATACCATATAATCTCACTTATATGTAGAATCTAAAAAAGACAAATTCATAAGAGCAGAGGGTAGAATGGTAGTTACCAGAAGCTGGTAAGGAGAGTGGGAAGATGTTCATCATAGGATACAAAATTTCAGTTAGGAGGAAGAAGTTCAAGAGATCTATCGTAGGCTGGGGGTGGCGGCTCACGCCTATAATCCCAGCACTTTGGGAGGCCAAGGCAGGCAGATTGCTTAAAGCTCAGGAGTTTAAGACCAGCCTGGGCAACATGGCAAAACCCTATCTCTACAAAAAATTTTTAAATATTAGCCAGGCATGGTGGCACGTGCCTGTGGTCCCAATTACTCATGAGGCTGAGGTGGGAGGATCACTTGAGCCCAGAAGGCTGGGGCTGCAGTGAGCTAAGATCACACAACTGCACTGCACCCTGGGTGACAGCACAAGACCCTGTCTTCAAAAAAAAAAGAGAGAGAGAGATTATATATCATGGTGGCTATAATTACAACATACTGAAAAAAGAAAAATTACTAAGTAGATTTTAAGAGTTCTAACCACAAAAGGATGAGGTAATATTAGCACATACATAATTGGCTTGATTTAGCCATTCCACGTATGTATATGTATATGAAATATACATATTTCAAAGCATGTCAGACACTGTGAATATATATAATTTTTTTTTTTTTTTGAGACAGTCTCTCACTCTGTCGCCCAGGCTGGAGTACAGTGGCACAAACCTGCCTCCCAGGTTCAAGCAATTCCCCTGCCTCAGCCTGTAGCTGGGATTACAGGTGCCCGCCACCACACCCAGCTAATTTTTGTATTTTTAGTAGAGATGGGTTTCCCCATGTTGGCCAGGATGGTCTCAAACTCCTGACCCTGTGATCCATCCGCCTCGGCCTTCCAAAGTGCTGGAATTACAGGCATGAGCCACCGCACCTGGCCAAATATATACAATTTTTATTTATCCAAAAATAAAAAGGCAGCAAGAGCGCAGCCATCCGCAAGCCAAGGAGGCCTGGAACAAATCCTTCCCTTATTTTGCCTTAAGAGGAAACCAATGCTGCCAACACCTTGATCCCCAACTTCCAACTTCCAGAACTGTGAGAAAATCAGTCTCTGTTAAGACACCCAGTCTGATACTTTGTCATCTCAGCCCTAGCAAACAGATACAAAGGGTGTCCCGTCTTGGTTTGTTCCCTTGCTTATTTTAACTAACACAATTAGATTTCATTTTATTCAGAGGCTGCTGGAATCTCGTTTTTCTTTTCATCAGTCCAGAAAGAAAGAGAATAACATAGTGTTAAAACTTGAATATTGCTTATTTTCATTGATTTTCATGGTATCAAAATTTGCCAAAATAAGATTTTTCAAGCTAAACTCTCTAAATCTTCTCCCATTTATCAAAAATGCCAAGAAATCCAATAACACATCCCACGATCACCATATACCTACCTTTCAGTGTTTTTTTGGACAAGGGAAAATCTGAAAATCTTGTAATTTCATTTACATTTATCTGGAAAAAAAAGAAAAAGGAATCTGGGTAATTCATTTGTTTCATAACACAGCCATTTTTTCTCCACATTGTACTGCCTAGCTCATCCTTGGTGATGCAGGGTTGAATTCAATCATCACTTCTAATTAAAAGCCATCATTCCTTCTGAAAGGAAATATGACCTGAAGAGGCTATCCCTGAATCGAATATACATTTGTAAGCATTTCAATTGGTAAGGAAAAAAGGGTCACCCAATACACACAGACGCACACACAGCACACATATTACTACCCAACCTCCAAAATGTTGAACATAGTAAAGCATCAACCACATCAATTTTAGGAAGAAAATATACTTCCTATCATCCCTCAAGGGATATCAATTTAAGAAATAAGGACAAAATTACTACAAACCACAGATCACAATGAAAATAGTTCTATACACACAATTTGGAAAAAAGAGTGAAATAAGTTGGAGAAATATTTCTTGTTAGCACAATCCTTTCAAAGTTTTAACCATAAATCAGTGGACTATGAAATCCAACCTGATAACTATTCATTTTGGGGTTATTGAAGGAGTATTATTTTAAAATAATCGGGGGAAATGTCTGTCATGCTTTGAAGCCACAATAAGTAACATTTTGCTCTCTAACTTTACATTATTCAAATATTCATTACTGACGTTCTTTATTAGCACAAACCCAATTTTCTGAATTTCAGCTGCGCAGGAGAATTATTTTATTACAGACGCTGAAGGCAGGAACTACTGCTCATTTCTGGAAATATGCTGCCAAATTATTCATGATTTGCAAAAGGAAAAAGCTGCATTTATATGGTTAATTTATTTAAATTACACTCTAGGCAGTAAAGGGATGACAGTTGTATTTCATTTTACAATCTACACATCTTTTCTATGATTCTTAACATAGCCCAAGCAGGGTTTACTATGTGCCCTCAAATGCTGAAAATAACAAATATTAAAACATTGTCTTAATCCCTACAAATCATTTCAGATATCACTGGAAAGGAGGCAGAATCAGCGTACCAGCATTACAAGAATGGTTTACTCAAATAACATACTGTCCCAGCAAGGAACCTCAATTAGAAGATAATCTTCCAAACAAGGCATTAAAAGTAGGTGTGGTCCACCCTTGCATTCGTAGTATTGTCAGCTAAAAAACTGTTTTCAAAGGGAATGGAATGCCTACAGAAGGAGGCAGGCTGCCAACACACTCTTCAATCCCCAGCAAGAGACACAGTACGGGCAAAGTGAGCTCCTCAAACAAAACATTGCACAGCACATCTGTCTTCCTAAAGTCAGTTAACCTCCTGGAGGGAATGAAACTTCTCCAGCACTCTTCCATCAAGCATTACAATAGAAAACTATATAACTTGTTTGTTTGTTTGTTTGTTTTTCAGATGGAGTCTCGCTCTGTCGCCCAGGCTGGAGTGCAGTGGCGCAAACTTGGCTCACTGCAAGCTCCGCCTCACGGGTTCACGCCATTCTCCTGCCTCAGCCTCCAGAGTAGCTGGGACTACAGGCGCCCGCCACCACACCCGGCTAATTTTTTTGTATTTTTAGTACAGTTGGGGTTTCACCGTGTTAGCCAGGGTGGTCTTGATTTCCTGACCTCATGATCCGCTCGCCTCGGCCTCCCAAAGTGCTGGGATTTCAGGCGCCATATTCTTTAAAAGAAGACAAAGAAAAGGAAATTTTGATTCTGCTGATGTTCTAAAATAGGGCCCAGCAAACTACAGCCTACAGGCCAAATCCAATTTGCTGCCTATTTTAGTAAGTAAAGTTTTATTGGAGCACAGCTACAATAATTCATTTACTTATTGTCTATGTAGTTGTTGCAGAGACTGTATGGACCACAAAGCCTAACACAGACTATCCAGCCCTTTACAGAAAAAGAGTTTGCTGACCCTGCTCTAGATATTCTGTTATATTCCAAGGACTACATAGCAGCCACAGCAGGAGATGGCTATGGTTCCTACAAACAGAATAACCCAGCCTGGCACGGTGGCTCACACCTGTAATCCCAACACTTTGGGAGGCTAAGGCAGGCAGATCACCTGGGGTCAGGAGTTCAAGACCAGCCTGGCCAACATGGCAAAACCCTAAAAATATCTCTAAATTTTTAAACGTCTCTACTAAAATTACAAAAATTAGCCAGGCGCAGTAGTGCACGCCTGTAATCCCAGCTACTTGGGAGACTGAGGCAGGAGAATCGCTTGAACCTGAGAGGCGGAGGTTGCGGTAAGCAGAGACAGTGCCACTGTATGCCTGGGCCACAGAGCGAGACTCCACCTCAGAAAAATAACTCTTTTCCCCTTGCCTCTATCCCTTTCTTAGGGGGGAAAAAATCCCTTCCATCTCCATAATACTCATACTCAGTCTACAAATCTGTCTCGCTATTCTTCTGAATTCAGTGAAGAGATATTTCAGGGATGGTCTTTATTAAAGGCTTCCCACGGCTATTGGAAAAGTTGGAAAGGGGAGAAGGAGAAAAGGGTGACATCTGACCATCCTCTTATACTTCTCACAACTCTCTAGTAATGCCTATTTCTCGCTAAAGTGAATAATGCCTGATGAAAAAAGCATTGAAACTTCCTAGAATGCGCCACCTACTGCAGTCAAGAACAGCAAACTGCCTCAACTACGCCAGACAAAATTCTGATTAAAAAAAAAATCAGGATTTGAATGCAGTTTCTATACAGTACAGCTGATTAGTCTAAATGAATCCCAGGTGCAAAGAGTCCTCCAGCAATAGTGAAAACAGCTGCTGAACTAACACAGCTAGCTCAACATTTCTGAGCTTCAATCCCTAGTTTTCCAGCAGCCCCTCCAATACACACTACCCCTTAGAAATACACCACCCTCCTGCTGTGAGAAGTATAGATGACTGACAATGCCAGCTGGGCCTCCTCTAGACTCACCATGAAAAAGCCATGCTTCCCCCCGGGCTGCTCCTAGTCAATGGCGGGGCTCAGCAGTGCTACTGCAGGCCCAGGGATTCCTCTGATGGACAACTTTGGATCAGTGACTCCCCATCAGACTGGCTGAAGGTTTACTTGGAACTGTGCTGCAGTCTGAGACTCTTCCTACCTGCTTCTCCTTCCATCCTTCTCTCCTTTCCCTCCCTCCTCCTGTTCCCTCTCCCTCAGCCTTCACAGACATTCCCCCTCCTGCACCTGCAACCCTTAAAGCTCCAGTTCACCCAGTCCCATTTTGTCATCTGCCTCTCAAAGGACCCAAGACCTAGACTCTACCAATAGTCTCCAACCTGATCTCTTACCCTCCAACCTTTACAGCTCGGATATATTCTCTATACAGAGTCCCGCAACATACTTCCCATGGCTTCCAGATTGAGCGTGGCCTCTGTATAAAGTTCCTACTGTTACTGTAATAAATTACCACAAACAGTGGCTTAAACCAACGCAAAGAGATTACCTTCGAGCTCTGGAGGTCAAAAGTCCACAATGGGTTTCGCTTGGCTAAAATCAAGGTGTCAGCAGGGCTGCATTTATTTTCTGATGACTCTAGGGGAGAGTCCATTTCCCCGCCTTTTCCAGCTTCTAGAGGCTGCCCACATTCCTAGGTGGTGACCCTCTTCTGTCTTTAAAGTCAGCAACAGACTCCAAGTCTTTTTCACATCACGTCACTCCGACACTGACTCTTCTGCCTCCCTCTCCCACACCTAAGGACACCTGTGATTACCTTGGGCCCACCCAATCCAGGATAATCACCCTACTTTCAGGTCAGCTGATTAGCAACCTTAATTACCCCTTGCCATCTAACATATTCACAGGTGCCAGGTATTAGGATGTGAACACTTTCGGAAGCCATTATACTGCCTGCTGCAGCCTCCAATGTCATCACAGTCCAACCTCCTTCTCGAACCCATCTGAAGCCAACTCAGGAATGCATGCAACACTCCAAGGAGCATTTCCTCCCTCAAAGAATGCCACGCATTTTCACCTCTCTGTATTTCCCCGTGTTCCCTCCACCTAGAACATCCTTGCCCATCTTTTCTATCTGATGAACTCTGATTTTTAAAAAAGCTTAGCTCCATTCTTGGCAACTGTAAACCACTGGACAGTTTGTACACTGCACAATGAAATCTGCTACGAATAAGATGCAGGGCTTGAAATCCAGCCCACACCAGCTCCCCAAGCCAGGCCTGAGGTTGCAACCACTAGGAAGAAGGGTAGCATACCCAGAGGAAGCCTGTTTTTTGTAATGCATCTGACCAGCAGGAGCTCAGTACAGGATAACTCAACTTCCCCTAATTACACCATCCTCTAACTCCACAGCACTGAGGTACACGTTACAAAGGATTATAACATTTTATACATACTAATATAACATGTGTCACACTATATCAACCCCTCACACTATAGCAAACCCAGGTTCCCTAGGGACTTGGGCATGTATTTTTTTAACTATATACTCACACCCGCCTAGACAAGTGCCTGTCAAATTGTTTCAAAAGGTTTCAGAATCAAATTGTTCAGTAGTTCACCAGTGAGGCTACTGAGCACCACCTGTGTACTATGGCCATGTAGTAAGTTTTATGTACAATGCTACCACCGGAGGAGCCACATAGTGAAGGCCTGCACCTTGGTTACCTAGAGAATGATAAACTTGCTATTCAAATAATTATATCCTAGTATTGCTAACCTTGACAATTGATTTCACACTGCATTTATTTCTCAACCAAATCTTGAGAAAATATTTCTAAAATTAAAGAAGTAAAACAGAACAATGCTTAGTGGGGGGGAAAGCCGCTCCTTCAACAGTGAAATAAATGGGATTTAAATAAATGCAACACAGTAAAGCATAGTGGTTTGCTGCACTGGTATCAGACGACCTGGGTTAGAACGCCTTTTTCACTTCTCAGCTGTTTAACCTTACACAAATCATTTAACCTTGCTGTGCCTTAAAGTTTTCTCACCTGTATAATGGGAACAATTTCACAGGGTTATTTGTGGTTAGTATACGGAAAGCCAGCACGCATAAGTTTGATGAATGTTCACAATTACTACTGAAACAAGAAACAAAAAAAGAATAATCCAATGCTGCCAACCAGAGCAAAGCTGCCTGGGAAAGGTCTAGTCTTACAGCAAACAACATCTAAACACTGACTGAGCACCTACTCAAGGACAAGCACTGTGCTTTCAGACTCTGGGGAGTGCAAAGATGAGCACATCACTGGTTGCTGATCTTGAAAGGTTCATGGTCTAGTAAGAGAGTTTTTTTAAAAAAGTTAATGAAGTTATTGCAAAGGCGGTGCAATGTCATTCTTCTGTATTCACAGACAGAAGTGAAACATTCTCCTACTGACCCCGAAGTAAGTTGACATGTTGTGATGTTGTAAGTCTATGGCAAAACCTATGTGGCAAAGGACTCTCAAAAGCTGGAAGTGTCCCCAAGCCAATGACCAGTAAGAAAACAGAAACCTAAATCCTATAACCACATGACGAGGAATTCTGCTAACAACCTATGGTATCTGGAATTAGATCTTTCCCTGGTTATGCCTTTGATGAGAACACAGCTCAGCCAATCTTAATCTTAATTGCAGCCTTGTCAAGCTGTGAACAGAGGACCCAGCTAAGCCATGCCCATACCCCTGACACACATAAACTGTGAGATAATATGTGTATGTTGTTTTAAGCCACTAAGCTTGTGATAATTTGTTACATAGTAATAGTAAATTAATTCTGAAATAATAGACACAAAATTTGGAGTAAGTAATATCTCTGGGGGAAGGAGACGTAATTAATGGCATCACAGTGTGGACTTCAAAGTTGTTGTTAATATGTGCTTTCTTCTTTTTATATCTTCATATTTTCTCTTGCAAAGAATATGTTGTTAGATATTTTAAATAAAATCTTAGAGTCTCTCACTTTAATTGGCCAGATTAATCCATTTATATTTATTGCAATTTCTATTATTTTAGGACCTAACACTACTATCATTTAAAAGTATTTTTTCATTTTTTATACTTTCCTTGCATTTCTTTTCTTCATTTATACTTTCTACTGTATATATTTAGTGTTCTTATTCTGTTTATATAACATTTTTCTCCATTTGCTCTTATAATAGACTTAAGACCCATTTAAATTGCTTTGCCTAATTAACAAGTACTATAGCATTCTGGCGTATTCCTATGTACTCCCCTTGTCTATTACATTAATTTTGTCTGTAATTTTATTTTGAGTTCTAAAATTTCCCCAGAGCTGAGGCAGGAATCCAGCTGCCTATGCTGGTTTGCCATTTTGTTGGGATAAGAAACATTTCATTGTAATATTTAGTTGTCTATTTCTTCAGCTATTTGACAGGCACATAATTGTTTTATCAGCCTTTAAGTGTCACATGTATATCATAGTATTTTGTATGAATCATTTATTTCATTAATATTTTAAATAAAAAAGTATCTGGCAAAAAAAAAAAAAGTTAAAGAAGCCAATCATTGCAGACAGTTGATAAATGTTGTCATAAAGGTTTCTACAAAATGCTACAGATGCACAGTAGCCCTAACTCAGCCAGGGGAGGTGATGAAGACGGGTTTGCACTAAATCTTGAAGGAGGAGTACCTGTCCTTAGAGTGGGCAGACGCGTCCGCTCACTGCACGCAGTGGAAACGTCAAGTACCAGGATGAGAAGCACAAGAAGCATGGACAACTCACAAAACTGCAAGCTGTTCCTTCATATATGCCTATCATGTACCGCTTGGTGTATACACATTATCTCATTTGGGCCTTACAACACTCTGGGTGGCTAATAACTTCTGTTTTTTGAAAGAAGAAACTGAGACTTAGAGGGGTGAAGAAACCTGACTAGCCAATACTCGAAGAGAGTGAGATTTAAACCAGGTCAGCCTGACCACAAATAACTTACTCTTCAGCAGACTAAAGAGTTGTATTTCTTGTTGACACACTGAATTTGACAATTTTTCTAAAAGTAACTGTGAACCAAGGAAGGGTTCTAATCAGGAGTAAAATGATTAGATCTTCATCTTGGAAAGAATCATTCTGGCAGAAGTATAGAGGATAAATCAGAAAGGTTTAAGGCCCAGGGGCCAAATCCTATCAGCCACCTGTTTCACTAATTAAAGTTTTACTGAAAAACAACACCCATTCATTTAAGTATTTCTATGACAGTTTTTGTATTACAAGGGCACAATTGAGTAAGTAGTTCTACCCTTATGATTACAAAGCTGAAAACATTCACTATCATTTACAGACAAAGCTTGCTGATCCCTGTCGAAAGCAAAATTTACTATAGTAATCCAGACAAGAGATGATGGGGGCTGAAGACAAGGCAGTAGGGATGAAGAAGCATTTGAAAAATTTAAGCAGAACAAATCACCAGTGTGACGGACTGGTTATAAGAGTAGGTAAGAGAGAAGTACCTAAGACTGCTCCTAGGTTTCTAGCTCTATGGTCTGCTGAGATGGTGGAGCTAGGATATGATAGGCTAAAAATGATCCCAATTTATGTCCATGTATTAACCTCTGGAAGGTATGAATGTTACCTTATATGGCAAAAGTGACTTTTCAGATGTGATTAAAGATCTTGAGATGGGGTGATTATCCTGGATTATGTGTGTAGGCCCTAAACGCAATCACAAGCGTCCTTATAACAGAGGAACACAGGTAGACTGACACAGGAGAAGGCAGAGACTGGAATTATGCAGCCACAAGCCAAGGAATGCCAGCATCCACCAGAAACTACAAGAGGCAAGAAACAGAGTCTCCCCTAGAACCTCTGGAGGGAGCATGTCCCAGCTGACACCCTGATTTTGGCCCAGTGAAACTGACTTCAGATGTGTGGCCTCTGGAACTGTGATACAGTAAGTCTCTGTTGTTGTTGGGTTTTGTTGTTTTTTTGTTTTGAGACAGAGTCTCACTCATGTCACCCCAGCTGGAGTGTAATGGCGCGATCTCAGCTCACTGCAACCTCCACTTCTCGGGTTCAAGCGATTCTCTTGCCTCAGCCTCCTGAGTAGCTAGGATTACAGGCGCCTGCCACTATGCCTGGCTAATTTTTTTGTATTTTTAGTAGAGACGGGGTTTCACCATGTTGGTCAGGCTGGTCTCGAACTCCTGACCTCAAGATCTCTGTTGTTTTAAGCCACCAAGTTTGCGGTAATTTGTTACAATGGCAACTTTAATTCCAAGAATGTTCCATCTATTAAATCCCTGATTGTACTGCACTAGAAGGGGGCTGAGAAGCTGAATGATGTGGGTGAAGGCCAACAAACATGGGATTTAGAGAAAGGGAAAAAAGGAATTGACAGACCTGTGGAGCCTGGAGTTTGGGGAAGAAGTCAGGAGGTCAAAGTGATCGTTACAGGTATACTCATCTGGGAACAACAGCTACAATATGAGGATGATATGTGACAGAAACATACCAGTGATCCAGCTTTTCTAGGCCAATTCTTGGATACGGACATGAAGCCTGTGGAGAAATGAGGTGGGCACAGGAAGGAGCATAGATGATGTTGAGGCATGCAGTCTGGCTTCATGGTTAAAAGCAAAGGCTTTGGGATTAGAAAGACATGGATCTAGCTTCCAATTCCACACCACCTACTAAGCGTGAGAGATTCGGACAAGTTTCATTCCTCTTAGAACCTCAATTCTCCTACCTATTAAGTAGGATTATTAATATCCATACCTCAGATCAAGTCAAACAATTACTGTAAGCACATGGTGACTGCTTTAAAATGCAGGTGTCATTATTACCATTATTGTCATCAGTATTATTACTATGGATATGACTGTAGCTATTACAGGATTAGTCTC